TGTTATCCATTAGTATTAGTTTGATTATTATTATTCTTATTATTAACATTAGTAATATCATTATTATTGTCACTGATATTATTACCATTCTTATTATTATCACCAACAATATTATTATTACTATTACTGTTGTTGCTATTATCATGATTATTTTTGTAATTATTAATATTATTAGTACTATTATCATCAAATCGTGTATTCTAAAAACAAATTAAACTCATCATATGTAGCATTATCGTATTGTATGGTTGAAACAATCTAAATTGATATAACGATTCACTTCCTTCAGTGTATGGTTCATTTTATGGATCTAGGAGATTACTGGGGTCGTGTTATTGGGAGGATTATTAGTGAAATATTCAATGTTTTCTTTTCAGAAGTATCAAATGAGTGAGGCAAACTGATATTATTATTTGCAGTGTGCTAGGCGCATAGAAATTAATACTTTGACATAATCAACAATGATAAACACTGTCTTGTATCGCAATATCATTGTCCTCATCATACTGCTGCTGCTAATTGTGTGCCATTCGAACGTATATTCGTTCACACATGAGAATTTCCATTCATAATTGGTTCTGCATTGCGGTTCGATTCGTTAACGTTGTTCGGTGCGGAAGTTATTACACTTGCACAACATCTACAGTCATGTACACCATATGGTGGCAGTTCGACAGTTTTTTAGCTCATCAAATTTGAATCATTTTGCGAGCATCTCATCTCTGTTCACAGTTATCAAAAAACTCACTCAAGGCGATTGATTCTTCGATAATTATGCTTTAATTTTTACGGAAATTCACAATTTTTCTACCTGTAACATTTCAGAAAATCGTTTTCATTCCCAGTTATGAGCTCATGCATGCAGATGACATATTATTTTGAAGTTGACTGACGTGCCACACTGTCGCGTCTTGAATACCTTTCATCTTGAATACCTCCAATTATCACCTATATAATGAAAAAAAGCACCAGCGATAATCATTATACATATTCTTTATTGATATCGTTTGGCCAGCTCTGTTTCCAACTTATCCTATGTGTTTTATGCGAAATTTTTTGTGCGATCAGATGTTATAGGTTTATTCATCACCATATCATTCGATGGAAAACTTTAATCATATTCATTCAGTGTTCCACTTTCATTCCAAAGCAAAATTGTTCGTTGAGTTTTCATCAAATAAATGATTGAAAATAATTTAATTGAATATGACATGCTAATTTCATAGACAATTTTCACATGCATAACCTTGCGTGACATATTTTTGATCTCAATATAAGTGTCTCCTTTTTTATGAGATCAACAATGGTTTACATTTCAGTCACCATATTTTACAACAAAAGTCAAACGCTTCAGTGACGAATTACTGTATCTTCCCATTGAATACACCAATAACGTCATCAAGCTTAACCATTTGATGTGTGTTTCAGCACTTCAATAAGAAATTATCAGAATAGTGATTGCTTATAATAAATAGCTATAATAGTGATAATATCAAAGATAATGATAATGTCAATAAAGATAATAACATTTGCATGCCATCAAACGATATCTATTTATCAGAGTGCAAATGAACACCGAATAAGTCTAGTACATCCCATATCATCGTATCAAAATCGCTGTCGTAATCGTATTATCACACGAGCGACTCTAATCGAGGAGGAGGAGGATATACGAAGTCTTATTTCAGATGTGTAAATGTTTGTGAATGTGTACAACGTATAGATAGAAAGATATACAGGTATTTATGCACAAATACATATACGAAGGAAATGTATTTATTCACATTTGCTGCTTCGTTTACTTCAGCAAATCGTCGAGGGCTGCTCTTGGTTCGCTCGAATTGCTTCTGTAAGAGCAATACATAGATGTGTGCGTGATCTAACATCTTATAGCAATCTCATGCATTTGTTACATGCATCATGCATCACTATTAAACCTTGCTGTACCCTCTTATTCTCCTTCTTATTATTCTTCTTCATATTGTTCTTTTAGTTTCTTCGCCTACATACTACTTACCTGTCGATCTCCTCACCACTTGGAGGTCGTCGTCTTCTTCATGATCGTGTCCGTTGTCACCGTGATCATCATCGTCAATCATCGTTGTTATCATTATCCTCATCATTCTTTCCTTCTTCACTCCTTCTCCAACTAATAAGTATTGTATCTTCTAGGTTCAGAGTTAAACTTATCTATCCCCTCTTCCTTCAACATATTTATTTACATTGCTCTTTTGCTACCTATTGAGCAGTAATGCATCGAGCACATGCAATCAAGCAACAAATAACTTGTTTTTTAGTCATTGCGTATGCGTTTGTTGTTATTGTTGTTGTTGTTATTATTATTATTAATATTGTCCTCGTTGTTGGATTATT